AGTGATGTCCTACCGCCATTATCTCTCTCATTCACCTCAGCTCCTTGACTGATAAGATATTTGGTGACATCAAAATGACCCTGCATAGTAGAAGCGTGTAGTGCTGTCATACCGCCATTATCTCTCTCATTCACCGCAGCTCCTCGACTGATGAGATATTTGGTGACATCAAGATGACCCTGCAAAGTTGAAGCGTGTAGTGCTGTCCTACCGTTATTAGTTCTTTTATTCACCTCAGCTCCTTGACTGATGAGATATTTGGTGACATCAAGATGACCCTGCATAGCAGAAATGTGAAGTGCTGTCATACCGTTATCCTCTATGTCATTCACTTCAGCTCCTTGACTGATAAGATATTTGGTGACATCAAGATGACCCTGCATAGTAGAAGTGTGTAGTGCTGTCATACCATCATTTTCTCCCTTATTCACCTCAGCTCCTTGACTGATGAGATATTTGGTGACATCCAAATGACCCTCCTGAGCAATAATGTGTAATGCTGTCTTACCGCGATCATTTCTCTTATTCATCTCAGCTCCTTGACTGACAAGACTTTTGGTGATATCAAGATTGCCCGTATAAGCAGCAATGTGTAATGCTGTCTCACCTCGACCATTTGTCTTATTCACCTCAGCTCCTTGACTGATGAGATATTTGGTGACATCAATATGACCCATATAAGCAGCACTGTGTAATGCTGTCATACCGTCATTATCTCCCTTATTCACCTCAGCTCCTTGACTGATGAGATATTCTGTGACATCAAGATGACCCTCCTGAGCAGCAAAGTGTAATGCTGTGTCACCGGCATTATCTCCCTTATTCCCCTCAGCTCCTTGGCTGATGAGATATTTGGTGACATCAAGGTGACCCTCCCTTGCAGCACTGTGTAATGCTCTCCTACCGCTATTAGATCTTTTATTCACATCAACTCCTTGACTGATGAGATATTTGGTGACATCAAGATGACCCTGCATAGCAGAAGCGTGTAGTGCTGTCCTACCGTCATTATCTCTCTCATTCACCTCAGCTCCTCGACTGATGAGATATTTGGTGACATCAAGATGACCCTGCTTAGTAGAAGCGTGTAGTGCTGTCATACCGTTATCATCTATGTTATTCACTTTAGCTCCTTGACTGATGAGATATATGGTGACATCAAGATGACCCTTCATAGTAGAAGCGTGTAGTGCTGTCCTACCGTTATTAGCTCTTTTATTCACCTCAGCTCCTTGACTGATGAGATATTTGGTGACATCAAGATGACCCTGCATAGTAGAAGCGTGTAGTGCTGTCATACCGCCATTATCTCCCTCATTCACCTCAGCTCCTCGACTGATGAGATATTTGGTGACATCAAGATGACCACTGAGGACAGCACTATTTAATGATGTCATACCGTCATTTGCATCATTTTTCACCTCAGCTCCTTGACTGATGAGATATTTGGTGACATCAAGATGACCCTGTATAGCAGAAACGTGCATTGCTGTCATACCGTCGTTATCTCCCTTATTCACCTCAGCTCCTTGACTGATGAGATATTTGGTGACATCAAGATGACCCTGCATAGCAGAAACGTGCAGTGCTGTCATACCGTCGTTATCTCCCTTATTCACCTCAGCTCCTTGACTGATGAGATATTTGGTGACATCAAGATGACCCTCTTGAGCAGAAGCGTGTAGTGCTGTCATACCGTTATGTTGTATATTATTCACTTCAGCTCCTTGACTGATGAGATATTTGGTGACATCAAGATGGCCCTGCATAGCAGGAGCGTGTAGTGCTGTCATACCGTTATTAGCTCTTTTATTCACCTCAGCTCCTTGACTGATCAGATATTTGGTGACATCAAGATGACCCTCCAGAGCAGAAGCGTGTAGTGCTGTCCAACCGTCATTATCTCTCTCATTCACCCCAGCTCCTTGACTGATGAGATATTTGGTGACATCAAGATGACCCTGCATAGCAGAAGCGTGTAGTGCTGTCATACCGTTATCATGTATATTATTCACCTCAGCTCCTTGACTGATCAGATATTTGGTGACATCAAGATGACCCTCCAGAGCAGAAGCGTGTAGTGCTGTCCAACCGTCATTATCTCTCTCATTCACCCCAGCTCCTTGACTTGTGAGTTTTTTTGTGTCATCAAGATCACCTTGCCTTGCTGCAATGTGTAAAGGAGTAGTGCCAGTATTGCCCTGGTTCCCTTTTGTATACTGCGGAATAGCCGTCCTTGTCTCCTGTATCCATGTTAGCTCCATGATTGAGTATAACTTTCGTTGCTTTCAGACGTCCGAATGATGCAGCGAGATGTCAGGTTACTTGTCCATCTGTAGTCGCCTTCTCCGCATCAGATACATGATTTATGAGATTTTCATCGACCGTCTCCTGGCCATACTGGAACGCTCTACTCGAATGGTTACGATTAAGATTCGGAATCCTTTGTTGCAGATAAACCAGTTGCATTCTGCACGTTACTAGCGTAAGCATACACCACACTTGGGTTTTCTTTCTCGCAATGTACAGTTGTTATTTTTGTCGTTGGTTCCAAAGTTCCAAAGTCCTGTGCAATGAACTAAATCATAGTTCAAATATTTGTTATTCCTATTCCACTGTTAGACTTCTCTATTTTCTCCTGGGGGGGGGGGGGGGGGGGGAGGGGGGAGGGCAATCATATAAAGCTAGTGCATTATTGACCGCTCCTTCTTCCCTTTCTCTCTAAAAATAAAGGGTGGAAACGTGTGTTATGTTCGTCTCTTCAAGGAGACATACATTTAGACTACGTAGAACATTTTCCAGGAGGGAAATCGTCCTGCACAAAGTCCATGTTTTACATGTTTTTATAACACAACTCGTATATGTCGTTTCTTTATAGAGTTTCGGGATAATTTTGTGTGTATGTGGACACGCTGTTAGAAGCATAAATTTGCCCCCATTGACGTATCTTACTACACAATAATTAAAATATTAACGCTGAGTGGAGGACGCTGATTCCTATCCTAATTAATAGTTGAATTACCCATGAAAGAAATAAATACTAACTCTGATTATGGTACTGGTTATGATTATGATAATGCGGTAAAGGTGAGGAAAAAAATCCGATTGTAGAGTACATGGAGAGTGCATGTCTTACCAAATACATTTTTACAAAGTCTTCTTTATGGAAGTCCTGGTTGAAAAGAAGTCAACGTGGTGTTGTGGCCTTGGGTAAGACATACAGCCTAGGTTGCCTGGAAAGCTTCTCTTTGAACGTTAATCAGCTTCTTTGGACTCAGGTAGACATGAATTTGTTAATAATGTATCAATATTTACCACGATTCATAGTTACACATTGAATGGAGAAAGCAAGGTAACGTATATAATATCAATCCAAGAAGATACCAAAACACCCCCCCCCCCGCCTCCGACGAAAGGGGAGAACATGTGTATTATATCATTATAAATAGATATATGCATCAAGGTGGCCTTGGAACAGCATAATTCAATTCGGTTTAAATTTCATATGAGATTACACTGAGGTAATAATGGCATTGCCTCGATTACAAATTTAAATGCATACAATACAGACAATTAATATAATAGACAAGTTCGTATATTAATAAACACATTTCCCCCCATTGCCAACTATTGCCTTAGCCAGCTCCTTCTACTTCAATGGTCATATAGGTTGAATACATTCATTTGGGAAAGCTCTGTGATAAACACTGCTAAGTATTGTAATAAATAAGGATTTTTACAAGAACTTTAGAATTTCGACCTGTTAAAAACGACACACGTCAAATACAAATGATAGCTGCTTACGACCTTCTGGACTTGATTATTTCCTGCTTACATGACGTATTTTGCATTTCAGTAAAGGGTTACTGTACTTTATCATCTATGATGCCAGTATTAAAGGAACATAATTATGTACATTGTTTGGAAGGAGACAAAACACAATTCAAGTCTATTGTAGATCAATTGAGTTTTTTTGCATGATCGGATCTGATTTCATGCACATTTTTGTGATGACAACTTATACTTTGCCATTAAAGCACTGTTGTTCAGACCCTGCAAGTGAATCCCATTCATTATTCTGCCTGGTATTCTTTGTTAAATTATCTTAGGTTTCCCTTTTGATTACGTGGCACCTGTTCTTGGCATCGCTTCAAATACTGAAGGGCGCACCATTGTCCATGTGTACCCTACATGAACTATATCGCCTTTGTTATCCAGTTTGTGACAAAATATAATTCAGTAAGTAAAAGAGACTTTTCATGGCTTATCTCTTTGCAGCTAGCCAACAAAAGTATTGAACTCTATCATTTTGAGGAAAAAAATGTCAATGAAATTTACAGAGGGGTAAATCGAACACCGGAAGGTGTTACTTTCTACATGTTCAACCAAAGGCATAGATAACATTAGAAATAAGAACATTTGAGCGATAAAAAGCTGAACTTGTAAAAGAGATTTTTACAATGTCTGGCTATGGTACGATACGTATAACATTCTGGGTTTTTTATCCAACGTGACCCCGTTCAAGAATTAGGAAGAAAACAATCCTACCCATACCACCAACCTACCACCATTTTACATCTTCCACTCCACCGCTACGACGTACGATCTACTGCCACTTTATCTCTACTGCTACCCTACCTCTACTACCACCCTACTTATACTCCCACTTTACCCCTTCTACCACCCTACCCAAGTGGCGGATCCAGGGGGGGGGGGCCGGAGGGCCCGCCCCCTGGCTGGATGAGTCGTTGCGAAATTTTCGGCCTGATTTAAAAAACGTTAACCAAACCCCCCCCCCCCCCCCCCCCCCCCTTGACAAAATCCTGCGTACGCCACTGACCACCAGAATATTCTGATTTTTTTTCTTTTCAATTTAATTAATTTACCAATAGCAATACAGCAATACATTTTATACAATGATGTTAACATAATTATATAAGAAGAGAAACTAGTAGTAGTAGTAGCTGTCTGTCGCGAAGCGACAAAGACCGCCTTCATTTTCACTTTACAGCTGCTCTCCATACAGCTCGCTGGCCTGCAGCAGTTGTCCAAGTCTTGGTTTCAATTTGCCTCCGCTTAAGGTTCCTCTTGATCGTGTCCTTGTAGCGAAGCCGTGGACGACCAATCCCTCTTTCGCCAGCGGGTAGTTGCGAGAATAGTACTTGCTTTGGTAACCTCTCAGAGGGCATCCTGATGACATGGCCTGTCCATCGTAGGTTCTTCCTGATGAGCAGGTCCTCCATAGAAGGAAGGTTTGCTCGCTCTAGTACCTCTTTGTTGGTCACCTTGTCCTTCCAACTGATTCTCATGATTGCTCGAAGGTGTCTCATCATGAACGCGTGAAGTTTCTTTACTTGACTTGTGTAGAGAGTCCAGCTTTCCGCACCGTATAAGAGAGTGGATAGGACGATAGCCCTGTAGATTTTGCACTTCACTCTTGTTGAGACATGATGGTTGTTCCATAGCCTGGTTCGCAGTCTTCCAAATGCACTGCTGGCCTTTGACATTCTTTTCACCAGCTCAGAGTCGATGCGTCCGTCTTTGGATATAGTGCTGCCGAGGTAAGTGAAGTCATCTACCTGGTTTAGGGCTGTCCCATCCACTAGGATCTCCTCCTCCTCTCGGTGGTCTGTACCTGGTTGGAATAGTACTTCAGTCTTTTTGATGTTTATTTGTAGACCGAACTTCTTTGATGCTGATGAGAGGCTTAGTGGGTGTGGTATTTCTTCTTCTCGAGTCACTACGTCACAACGTTCACTCCTAATTAGATTGTCCCAATCCAGTTTTGAATGCATTGCATCTGTAGTGAGTGTGGTGTACTGGGATATTAAAGGGCAAGTCCACTCCAAAATAATTTACTTTCAATAGAAGCAGAAAAATCAGACAAACCAATCAAAAAAAGTTTGACCAAATCGGATAACTAATAAGAAAGTTATTAATTTTTAATGACACGAAAAACTTTAAAAATCGCAAGACAAATTGGTAACTCACTCATGAGTCTCTTCATGTCCTCACTATCCACTAATTATTTTCTTTATACAGTGTATCGATAATATAAATTCCCTATTTTTCCCATTAGAATTTTATTTCTTCACACCAGCATCCAAGTTAATGATAGTAATATGCTTTTGTGTGGATGCACTAATATAGAGTAATTTTTTTCCAGTTAAATCATGAAAAAAGTGAGTTTTTATGAACTATTTATATAAACTGACGCTTCGTTGAATAGAATGTTAATCTTTCAACTCATGAAAATATTCGCACTATTGAACTCATAACCATTCATTATTTGTATAATATACAATATTCAGAAAATAGTATCAATTCTTTAAAGTTTATAAAATATTTTGTGAAATGTCTTGCACGTAATGATTATTATACAAATCATATAACCTAGGCAAGGCATGGGGATATCAAGTTTTGGGGGATAAAAAGATAACTTAGGATTAAACTAAATAGTGAGGACATGACGTCACAAACTGATAACCAAATTTGTGTAGCGATTTACATTGTTCCATAGTTTTACATGCTTTTTCAAAAGATCATAATTATTAAACTTTCTTATTAGTTATCCGATTTTGGTCAAACTTTTTTTTGAATGGTTTCTTGTGATTGTTTCTGCTTCTATTGAAAGTAATTTATTTTGGAGTGGACTTGTACTTTAAGCTGACCACATTAAATAGCATAGGAGAAGTAGTGACTGGTATTAGAGGGCAATGTCCTCTCAAACTAGTCTTTTAGTAAAACAGTAAGTGAAGTGAGAAATGAAGGAGGAAAATACTACGACGTCATTTGGCAATTCAGACATTAATCCACATTTGCCACTCACCACCTACGTGTAACTGGGTATCCGGCACTTGCTGGGGGTAACGATAAATTTAGGGGCCTCAGGAAGAACATCATTGATGCTGATGAAGCTGCCCTGTGTTAACAAAATTATCATTATTATTACTTACATAATTTTAAGTACGTAATGATCGTCTAGGAGACCATAATAAATCCCGGGACAATGCATGCCCTTTTTACCATTAAAAACAATATACAAAAATTACAAGAATAACAACAACAGCAACAACAAAACAACGATGAATCAGCAGTCATGGGTTAAAACGTCAAAGAATAAGTGCTTTTATAATCAATATCATTTACAAATCACAAAATAATTTTTGAATTTATGTACGATGTAACTTACTTGAAATATAAATCTATGGAAAAGTGAAGTTATAGAGGCTCAAAATATAAGGGGAAACTGACCATTTACCTCCACACTTTATCTCCCCCGTTTTCCGTCTCTTTCATTCACTTTTCACAAAGTACGATAGCATTCCATAAGTTATATAGACAGTCTTCGTTTTACTTTCTGTTTCAATGAGAAAACATTCTACAAACGATTAAACTACATAGAATACGATCGCAACTGTTTTCGAAAACTCAACCTAGGGCATTGTGAATACTGAGGCTTGTGCGTCACCTATTGAACCGTGCGAACATGACAATGAAGTATTACGTAACCCCAACATGATTTCTATGGGATTTATAACAGGTATTGAAATCGCCCTTGAGTTGATTTTTCAAAAATAGTCGCGATCGTGTAAAAGGTGAGTAAAAGTAACATAAATCACAAAAAAAGGAGACATTTCATTACTAACATATTATTATCCGCCAGTTGAAGAGGACACGATACATATAATAAATTAATGAAGTTTTGGACTGAAGTGACATCTAAATAGAGCTTGTATTATACGTCAGCTCCATTTGTCCATTTAAATTGTTGCTCGATTTACAAGCGTTACAATAGTTAAGAGTAACGCGAGCATCATTCTTCTATATCAGATCACGATAATCTGCAACATTTTAAGCGACCTATTTTCTTCCTTGAACTGCTCCCTGTAATAAGATGTAGAATGTGATAACAAAATTTGGAAGATCTTCGAAGTATGGATAGGTTCGTTTATTATTAAAAGCATCGCGTCTACTCTTTGAGATATATATATTGACAATAGATAAAAGTGAATATATTTAAAAACTTTATTAATCAATTTTATGAGTTACAGAGATTGACCAATAACGTTCCTAGAAGATATCAACGTTATTTAGCAAGAACAATTCATATTCCCACAATCATTTCATAAAAAGAGGAAAGAAAAAAGATATTTCAACTTAAAACATTATCTCTTTTTTATAAGGGGTACAGCTAAACTTGAGATGTGCTGATTGAGTTATATTTCGATAAAAAAAAGCGCTTAAAATGCAGTAGACTGTATATGTGAACCATAAAATGTCAAGTAACAATGACTGCCCGCAATCACATTAACTGAAAACTTCGATTCATAACTTTAGACAACTATGACCAACTATGACTATGGTTGACCAGCTCGATTTTAACATATGTTTTCGTTTCATTATTTAGCTTTTAGTAATTTTGTACCTTAACCATTTGGCAGATATCACTTATCACCTTGGATTTTGAGTGTAGGTTCCTTTTGATTCTCTGAGAATCCATGTTTCCTTATTACCGTACCTCATGACTGTAACTTTAAAGGATTTTCTTCCATTTTCATTCTCTTACTACAGCACATGTCATGTAGGGAACAGGGTTCCTTGATACACCCAATACTCCTTCAAAAGAAAGAGGTGGTGAGTTGTCAGGTTTCTTGAAGGTGAATCGTTGAAGGAGGCTTGTAAAACCTAAGAATGTCTCCATCCGGGCTAGCTGCTCTCCAGGACAGGCACGGCGACCTGGGAATAATTGTATGAATGCACAATGAAAGAGAGGGAGAGGAAGTAGGAGGGAGAGAGAGGGAGAAAAAGAGAGGAGGAAGTAGGAGGTAGATAGAGAGGGAGAAAAAGAGAGAGAGAGATAGAGAGAGAGAGATAGAGAGAGAGAGAGAGAGAGAGAGAGAGGGGGGGGGGCGGGCGGCGTGGGGATGATCGACGGAGAAGGAGAAAGAAATGGATTTATAATCAACCCTCTCATTATCTCCAATATACAATGTACATCCCTTCTTGTTTCTTCACTACTCAAAAAACTCTCTCCATTTCTTGCACTCAGAAGTTTCAGCCATTATGTTCGTAATTTTCTCATTTTTATATCAAACTGGGCTCAATTTTACATTATCAAAAGTTTGATGAAGCAGGTTATATTGGTCTTTTGTCCGTAAGGATAAATGATGTGTTTCTTAATATTCATCACATGGCGAATAACTGCTAATAAACTTGTCTTACCACTGCTGAAAAAGATGAGTTCATCTCTCTTGATAAGCTCTCCATCTGCGGTCAGAAACCTTTCAGGATTGAAGGCCCCGGAGTCTTTCCAAAGCTCTTCGCTGTTCAGCACCTCAGAAATGTTGGAAACAATGACGGCGCCCTTCGGAATGGTGTAGCCTCGTATGGTGGTATCCGCAGCAGCCACGTGGGGCACACCTAGTGGGACAACCACACCCTTCCGTTGGACCTTGGAAAGTACGATTCAGGATATAAAAACATAAATAAAACTCTGATAAACAAAACAATAAATTCATTTTTGTTTACTTTAAGGAATTCAAGATTGTTTTAAAGGAGGGGACATGTGCCAATTGTGTCTCTTAGACAAATTAAATCCACCGCGGTGGAAATACCTGTCGCTATGCCCCCACACGCCTCCCGTGTCTCTCCTCCCTATGTTCACCTAATATGAACATCTTAGATATCACGTTCTCTTTAAGTTGATAACATGTTGTTGTTGTTGTTGTTGTTGTTGTTGTTGTTGTTGTTTTTTTTGGGGGGGGGGGGTTATTGTGATACATATCAAGGAATAGTTTTAATGGCAGCCGCATTCTTCTAGGAAGAGGGGGATCCGGTTTTCTCCAGTGGGTGGGGATCCCCTCCCCTTCTTTTAGCCCTCTAATTTGAAACAGAATAACTGAAGATCTACCTCTAAGATAACGGCATTGGTGTAGGGAAGATCTTTGATATCATCCAGCCTTGGGATTCGTTCTCTGCCAACCACGTGATCAAGTTCATCTTGAACACGTGACTGAATCCGTGGGTAGGCCATCATGTAGAGGATGCACCACTTTAGAGTAGTAGCCGTCGTGTCAGACCCAGCGAGAAAGAGATCGGCGATACAACCGGTTAAATTGAGTTTGTTGAATGAAGAAACTGTGTCCTGAAAGCAGCCGAAAGCAGAAAGAATTGCCTTTAATAACGTTTTGGTAATAGGGCCGCCTTAAGAGTGCATACAACGTTCTGGTATTTGTTTAATTGTGATACGTGTCACTAACAGAATACTAACAGGTGATATTTGTAGCGCCTCAGAGCGTTGCCGATATCAATACACTGTGGTTCACATTTGTCATACCAGGGTATCACCTCCCTGGTCATACTTTGTATTTAGTTCTTCTGATTTTGTGAAAGTATCCACTGTGAATAATGACATAACATGTTGGATGCAGAAACAATTTAATAATATGGACTTCGTGAACAAACTGTGGTTGTCCCATGATTTATACATACTTCTTTGAAACCTGTTTGTCCTACGTCCCATTAGAAAGTTGAGGGCGGGAGTAAGTTTTAGGGTTAAGGTGAATTTTAAGGTTAGGTTTAGTATTACTATTAGGATTGGACCGAGGAAAAGCAGAACAAATAGAACGTATAGGAACCATAAATCGTATGACCACTGGAACAAAGAATTGTAGAATGTAAACGCATCTATCTTAGAGGCTGTTCACACCGGCAGAGATAGCGCGGTCTAGCGCGCGCTATCTCTGCGGTGTGGAAGGTACAACGTCGTTTCGGTCCGCCCAACAGCGAGCCACGGCGAGCCAAAACGGCGTGCCAGCACTGGAGCACCTCTTGGGGGTGGTCCACGAGAGATAGCGCGGCCTAGCGCGCGATAGAGCGCGCGCTAGACCGCGCTATCTCTGCCGGTGTGAACAGCCTCTTAGTTGCTTTCACTCACCTTGGTTTCATCCAACTTATTGAGGTACTGGTCGATGAAATCCCTCTGATTTTCTGGATCCCAATTCTTTTCATGAGACTCAATCTGAGACTGGATGAAGGCGTTCAAGCTCCGAATTGTGTTTGTCATGAGCTTCATTTTACCAAACGGAATCTTGGAAATACCAGGAATGGGAAGAAACAAAAACGATCCGCCCCCTCCCGACAATTTTACGTTCAAGTTCACGAGATGCAAAATCTATATAAAGAGAAAAAAGAATGATGTCTTAGGCTATTTAAGAATGATGTGTGTGACAATAAGGAAAGCAAAACTCTTACTATCGTGTATAACGAGTTGGGGGAACCTGGTGGTCGTAGGATACATGTATTATAGTTGTTCCTTCCCAGGTTTGGAGACAGAAGAGCGTTAATTCATATTAACTTACACAGAGTTAACGCCCTTCTGGCTCCAAACAGACGAGATGTAAATAATGAACATGATGAATACAATATGGAATAACGCCATCTCTCGGAAGGGGGGGGGGGGTAGTGAGCACTCATTTTTTTTTTTTTGCTCAACGGGGAAGGGAACAGTGTTTTTTTTTCTTCTCAACATCCACCGCCCCCTTGAGCGCCAGGAGAGGGGGCCGCCCCCCCCCCCCTGGATCCACCACTGCGTGAGAGAAAGAGAGAGAGAGAGAGAGAGAGAGAGAGAATATGGGCGACATAAGGGCTGCCTTAAAATCAGTTTGACTAAAATTTATCATCTTTAATATGAATTCACAAACTGTCATTCAAGTACTGATGTGACAATCCACAGGAATTATCAGTGAAAGTCAGGATGATACATATTCAGCTTACTTTCTTGAATGCGTCGTCGTCGTATGTGTACTGTGTTCCGAAGATGATAGAGCAAATGATGTTGGAAACGGCTTGCATAAAGAGAGTGCTGGGGTCAAAAGGAGAACTTTTCTTTTCTTTGATGACTGAAGAAAGCTGGATCATCTCGGCTGATACGGTATCCTCATAGCTCTTCTTACCAACACCAAGACTCCGGAATACAGAGTGGGTGAACTTTCGCTGCTCCTTCCAGACTTCTCCGTTAGAAAAACCAATTCCTTTGGAAGATATCAAACATGGAGTTTAACATGATGATAGGATTGTCATGGTTATATATATTATAATTTAATCTGACTAATAAAATAAAATCACACAAGATGAGTAGTGGATTAGTGACGGGGCTTTAAAATATGTTAGATCCCTTGATGATGTTCTTTTATTTTATTTTTTTTCCCTTTCATCGAGAAGACGATTTCGTTTCGACATTTACTGAAAGGAGTTAAGGTGATTATTTTGATTTACTCGGATGGATCTCGGAAGTTCCTTTCGAGGTTTGGGAGTTCCTTTGATACTCAAAATTATTATACGAAGGGCTATCTTCCATTGCACAAGAGTTATCATATTTCTGGAAATAACTTGCCAATTTTATTCAATCCTTACCGCTGTTCTTTAATCCCATTATTTCTTGAAGTAGTCGGCTGCTGAGTCGGTCTTGGAGATCGGGATGACGAAATGCTTCGAAGATGACCGGGTAGGAGTTGAGGATGACGATCGGCTTCGGACCAACGTAGAATGATACGATCTCACCGTACTTCTTGGACCATGATGCGAAGAGAGCAAGAGGATCCGACCCACCCCTGCGATTAACAAGAAAATATTACACATTATATTTCGGCAACGGAGTCAAAATTTGATGATTACCTTGATGTTTACCTTGTGCTCCTGTTTAGTTATATGTCTTGCGGCCCATGGGATCGCTGATCTCCGAAATAGCGGAGGAAGAACAAGAAGAAGAAGAAGAAGAGGTAACAAGATACGATATAGGTATGGGAGATAGAAGAGGCAGTGAGAGAGAGAGAGAGAGGGGGAGAGATATTTAAATAGATAGATAGTTAGAGAGTAAGTGAGAGAGAGAGAGAGAGAGAGAGAGACCGTGTGTGTGTATGTGAGAGAGAAAGAGAGAGACAGAGACAGATGGGGAGATGGGAAAGGGTCTAGCGGTATCAAAAGGAGACGTATTGAATGAAAATTAAAGTAAGATAAAGATATAGGGAGAGAGAGAGGTCAAGAGAGAGAGAGAGAGGGGGGGGGTCGGGGCGGGAGAGATAAAGGATAGATTTTTAGGTACACAAGGGGGTTTATAGCTTTTAAAATACTGTAATGAGAAGCACGTACTTGAAGATTTGCCAGGCTACACCCAGGAGAGGTAGTCCAGTGGGCCCGGGTGGAAGGTTCTTGGGCCTGGTTATCAGATGTTTGACCAACCAAGCGGTGAGAAGACCAATTACTCCAGCAAGCAACCAATAGCCTGGTTCCGTCTCTGTGAACCCCATTATGGACATTGATGAATCTAAAGAACAAATATTTAATACTAAATGCTTTACTATTGATAAAGATCCTCATATATGGAGTACTATTCCAAAATATCCAAAGAATCAACCTTCTGTATATAGTTTTAAACGTTCCTTTCGATTGTTTTTTTTATTAAATTTGTACTCGGCAACTTGAGTATCATATTTGATTTATGAAGTATATATTCGTATATTTTTTTCCTTCTGTATTATGTTTTCCTAGTCCCTTTTACTGCTTCCACCTGCTTTCCTGTTCTTCTTAATGTGGTGTAAATTATGTACTTTCTTTAGGGGTCAACGTTCAACAAGGCTAAATGCTCTTTTATGTTGACCACCCATTCGACATAAATTTGCTTCTGAACTTATTTCCGTGTTAATTTTATTATATTCTTATTATCTGTAATGTTACCCTTCTACGTGTATTTATGTATTTACAATTTTTTTTTTTTTTTTTTTTTTTTTTTTTTTGGGGGGGGGGGGGGGGTAATACTCTGTATGTTTTGTATATGTCTTTTGTTATGAAGAATGGAATAAATACTATACCATACCATACCAAAGGTAAAATGTATAAAATACGATCTTCATTACTAGAAGCCTGTCTTGACGCACATGAAGTGTGAGTTGACCCCTTATAGTAACCACTTGATATTTACTAATATGAAATCCAGAACGTCCTTTTTCCTGTCGTTCAGAAGAGTCTATTACATTGTTTTCTTTGCTACTGTCAGACTACATACTTTCTTTCTACATGATGTCTGCACAAACTTTTTTGTTATTTTTTTCCGGGGAGGGTGCATGAGGGGTCTTGCATTCAATTTCCCACATGTGCCTCGCGTAAAATCATTTATAATCAACAATCTGTTTGTGGTGTGGGAGGGGGGGGGGGGCTGATGGGGGCTGAGCCCAAGCTTTTGGTGTTCAAGTCATTTACATAAATGTGTGAAGCTGAATGTGCACGGCAAATGGATTTAAACGACATATATTCCAGCGATTACTGATACGCTGACAATTAGGAATTTTAGTCGAATCGCAAATTTCAGCCTTAGAGCAAATATAACTTACCCTAAACCTTTGATTTAGAATTAAACCAATCCAAGTGTAAATCACACTGCGTCTTTGATGTAATATAGCCCGGAGTATATTTCAGATCAAGGAATTTAAACGCTTTTCCAGTATCTCAAAATGAAATGATAAATATGAAGCACATAATACCTCTTTCATCAATTTACCAAAATTAAAGGCCCACTGCACTACTTGTAGCTACTTGCGCCCTCTATACAACAAACAATGCCTAATCGGTGACCATTGGTCCCCCATGATCCTCTTTTTCTTATGTTAACTGAGAGCTGAGTTGATGGGAAAACCACCTGTCCAGTGACCTTGTAGGGCGGTCTAATCCGTCCTGTAAACTATGGCAGATAAGCTTTAAAGGCACACTGCCATACTTGTAGCTACTTGCTCCCTCTATATAGAAAACTTCCCCAATCGGTGCCTGTTGGTCCCCCATGATCCTCTTTTTCTTATGTTAAATGAGAGCTGAGTTAATGAGATAGCCACCTGTCACAGTGACCTCGATGGCTCGCTGTGTGGTCTAATCCCTTCTTGCCCAGTAGTGGTGACGGTCTTAAGCTAACTATGCTAATCAGTATTCTTGCATTTGGAGAAAGATAAATTTAAACTCCTTTGCATCTAAACAGTAACAAAACAAGTCGGAATATATTTAAATTTATTTAATATTTCTTCCTATCATTGTTACGAGCAATAACAACAAATGCGTACTTACGTTGTATTTAAGATTGATCCTGGATATAATATTCCCAATGATATCCTAGATCCTGGATAAATTCCTTTTACCCTGAAGAAAGCGTACTCTCAAATGAACGACAAGTTGAGAGTCAAAATCCACGTAGCAAGCTAGCAGACAATCGAAAGGTAAACAATTATAGGGAACATTGCCAAATCGAGAGGCTATATTTCCTTTACGATAATAGACCGATGACCGTTTGCCACTTGTTAAAGTCCAGTTTGCTCAGTACGAATAAGAAATTGTGCACTTTTTGCTGATAACTGGGATAACTGTTCACCCATTTTCTGAATATTGTTAATGTTGTTGTTGTTGTTTTGGCGGGGGTAGAGGGGGGTTGATTGGTATTTCTTCAGGGGGGGGGGGGCAAATCCAAATCCACTATTTCCCCTACAATAAGCTAGTAAGGAAAAACAAATAATATATATCGACAATGACGCAGCCATAGGAGGGGGGGGGGGGGGCACGTGCCCCCGAATCGAATGGCGACAAAAGAGAGAAAGTGAGAATCAGAGTGAGAAAGACCTAGATAGAAACATAGATATATATGCCTATGTAGAGAGCGAGGGAGAGAGAGAGAGATAGAGAGAGGGAGGAGGGGGAGATAGAGAGAGAGAGAGAGGGAAAGAAAGAGGGAGAGAGAGAGAGAGAGAGAGAGAGAGAGACGGAGAAGGGAATGGAGGGGGAGGAGAAAGACAATGAGACGCAATACCTTTCGCATATTCATCCAGTCAATTAATATTTCTAGTGCCCCTTATCAGTCATCAATGGCTGATCACACGCCATACCCATGTTGATCAACAAAAATGAGTATCAAACAGCACTAAAAATCTACAGGTACGTCAATACATGCTTCTGCAAGTCATTGCTGTATTCAGAGCGTACATCTGTGCATGGCTTTGTTTAAAATTCTTTCTCAAACTAGGTTGACATACCATGCGTGACATCTTTTGAAATGGTTCATAAACACGGTCTAGGATTGCGACCTCAAAAGTCAAATCAAATGGAAGTCAGGGTGAGGGGTTGTACTATATATTGGACTTTGGTCCAGAAACGTCTCTTAAAGAGCATTGCTGAAAAAAGCGAGGTTCAATTGTGACACCGCAATTCGAGATTTAAACGATCAAAAAGCAAGGGTAGATTTCCCTCTTTCCTTTTCCGAAAAGAACAACAATAGCAACGATACAGTCATTAAAAAGGATATTTAGGACATAAGGTATGCTTGGAGTACAATTTTTTCCATTTCCCCCCTAAGCTCATAGTTCTATAGGATGTTGAAAACTATGAGAGGATTAAATATGTTGGGTTGGGATTAGGAAGAAGATCGGGGTGTGCTTCCATAGTATGCCCAGAAAAAAAAGTGGACGTTGTGTGACCTAATAAGACTATTTGACTAATGTTTACATATACACATTTAATTTAGATTTATACAATTTTATCTGTGTATCCATATAAGATAATCCTCAGAACGGTCGTGAGATTGTGAGCTTCCAAAATGTAAGAATCGCTTTTAAAATCAGTAAATTGGTATAATCAGAAGGCCATGTTTGCTTGGGACAAGGTTACAATCATGAGTCTGCAAGATTTTATCGTTTGCAAATCAAATGTGAATGCCAATATTATATGCAAGAAGTCCTTTGAACTTGCATGTTATAGATATTGACGTTAGCGGTATTAATAATAATAATAATAATACAGCATTTATTATGCGCCATCGATCTAGTAAACTATTCTGAGGCGCAGAGGGATAGAATTAGAATGAGATACATCTATGAGAGAAATGAGAAGTGCATGGATAAACAATGTGTATGTGTTGGGGGGGGGGGGGCTACAGAGCGTGTGGATATACACAAAGTGATAGAAATGTGTGATATAAATTTATTTGAGAGAATTTAGCTAATACTCCTCTATTTTCCCCATTACTCTAATACAGTCTCTCTCTCTCTCCCCCTCCTCCCACTCTCTCTCTGTTATACTCTCCCTTAATTTCTTTCTTTCATGTCGGGTAAATCACGATCAGTTGGGCAAAAAGAATTTCCGTTTCGGTTTAACTTAATAAAATTTGGAGTGGACATAAGAGATTATTATTATTATTATTATTATTATTATCTTAAAATATGAAGGCCCTCTAAAGTGACGATGATATGTTAGAATGCGAAATTATAAAAGCCCTATATTCAGGACTATGACAATGATGACGCATTTAAACTCAACATACTAGATAACGAAAAGGAACAGAGGGAGGAGGGAGAAAAGGAGAAGCAGTAACATAAAAAGACGAAGACGTATGGTATTTCAGAAAAAGGAAAAGAAAAAGTAAAATAATGAGTAGAAGAATAATTAACGTACATTTACAGCCCCTTTTGCAACGTTATTCATATAAAAATCAGTTCTAAAACGTCCCAATATAGATGTAAAGTACTGTAACGGGTTTTGTCCGGGGTCCCTGCACCATTTACCGAGCGGTCAATAAATCTCACGAGACTCCAATCACCCGCACGGTTCTTTCATAAACAGTGAAGCTATCACTCCAACATCATCGATCGCACTCAGATCACGCTACTTTTCTATAATACACGGAAACACAGTGTCATTTTACATCAAAAGGTACTTGCCTTTATTCACGAAGAACTCCAACTTTACAATGTAACTTCCCTTCAACAGCTAGTAGCAGTCCTCCGATTCACCCTGTTTCACCTATCTTATCCTGCCCTCCCTAGCTACCTGCCCGAACACGTCCTCTCTTGCTCATGCCTAATAACTAACTGCCCACCCGCATGCACTGACCCACGTGCGCCCGCTACGTTGAAACAACTCCGTTACACTGCCCCCTCCTTAATTTAAAAACGTCCTCGTTTTATAACTTAAAAACAACTAATCCCGTGCGTAACATTAACTATAAAACTGCAAGTCACAAAACATCTCAAAACTTGAACAATTAATAACTGATGAAAACATGAAAAATATACAGAGTCCGTTTCTTTTCTTTCTTTTTTATTACACGTAGTAAGTCCTTTGGTTATTATCTGCGATCATCATATGAACTTGTGCATAGCGTCTAACATCTCACTGAACGGATTGGGTTGAATCATCAAATCCTGCAATGATGTCGACATGAAACTCCTTCCTTGATTCCTCTTTACTAACAAGGATCCCCCCTTGAAATATTTGCCTAGTGGTAGTCTGCGTCACGCTCTGAATCCTCCCTAAGATAGCTCGCGAGAACTGCTCATCTGACATATGAACACCTACGACTCCAGCTTGGACACTACGCACCTTCGTCGTCCCCCCGCCTTCTTCCTTCTGACTCACGTCGGCACTATTCCGCAAGAAGATGGCG